GGAGGAGGAGGAGGTGAGGAACGCGGGGCGCCGTCTCTTCAAAACGAGGACCCAACACCACAGGATGGTTGGGAAAAGCAATACAAATCAACGATTTTGGCTTGTCGGGGCTCTCTTGGGAGGCCTCTTAGGATGCCTTCGGGGCCTCATGGAGCTCTCTTGGAACGTCTTCGGGCCTTCCTGGCCATTCCTGAGGCAATCTATGCGCGTGTTGGAGCGCTCGCGGGCCGTCTTGGGCGGTCTCGAACTGTTCCTGGCGGTCCCAGGGGCCCTCCGGGACGCTTCGGACGCTCCCGGGGGGCGCCCTGCACCCCCCATGGAGATTACAGGCAGCGCCCCGGGCCGCCCCCGGGCTCTACTCCGATATATATATATATATATATGTGTGTCACACATATATATATATATATATATATATATATATTATATATAATATATATACCCTGATATACTCGTTTTTCTTCAGCCGCGGCCATCAAATGTGCATCGGCAAACGCAAAACACGGAAGCATCTTGGATGGCCTCGGGACTCGGATCTCACCCATGTAATCTGCAACGCACTGCGATCAACGACCTGACCTCAATCGCGACATATCCCATCGAAAATATTACGGAGAAGGAGAAAGCAAATCGAAGCGGGAAGGGGCGTCCGACGTCGAAGCCAATATGCAATGTTATAGTCCCGTGCTAGAAGACGATGCACCCGCAATTACGTCTCAAACTCGCTCGTCGCCGGCATTTTCCAAAGGAGGCGGTACGTCCCGCCCGAGGCGAGAAGGCAGGGGACACAAGATTCTGCCACTCCTCGCCGATTTGGCCGAACAGTGAGCTCGAGAGGTGGAAAGTCTATCCCTTCTTCGGGCTGCGCGAAAAACTCATCGTTCCCTGGAGCACGCTGCCACCAGACGCCAGAACTCCGACGACGTTGTTCGTCCATCCTTGGGGGCCTCCCTGGACCTCCCGACAACGAGAACTCCCTGGGAGGCTTGTGTTCCTTACGCCACAGGAGCACTTTCACGAAGCTACCTCATACCACAGAGCACTTCCACGAAGCAGCTTGTGTATGAGGGTGCCATGCCTGGTGAAGGAGCCCAGGCCCCAGAAGTCGGTGGCTCACTGTGGCCCCCTCATCGTTTGGCCCCCGCCTCCTCCTCCTCCTCCTTCTCCGCCGCCGCCGCCGCCTCATGGCTGTGTAAACGTTCCGTCTGCTTCGAGCCGCCAGATGCCCAGGCTCGGTGAGAGAGCCCGAAGCCAGAAGCGATGCCCGGACGGGCGCCGCGGGAGGACGGCCCGCGCACGCGGCCAGGGCACCACGGAGAGGACGGCCGGCGCACGCGGCGAGAGGCACGCCGCTGAAGACCAAACGCGCTCGACGAGCGGTCGTGGCCTCATCCGGCCCAGCCCTCCAGCGTACCACCTGCTTCTTCATGAAGCGCACGTAAGTTTCTCTGGCGACGGGTCGACATGCTTCTGGACCTCCAGTGCTTGTCACGATTGCTTCGGCGATGGCCACGGCCAAGTCTGAGGGGTAACGATAAGGGGGGGGAATAGGCATAGGCGGGGGAAACGTCGACCTGGAATCGGCGAAATTTCGCCGATAGATCGGCGACATGCCCCCGATACGTTCCTAGATCAGAGAATCGGAACGGTCCTGGGCAGGTTGGGGCTCTCGGCCCCTCACTCAGCGATCCACGGGCCAATGGGGGTCGATGCGTCCCCTCCCGATGCCCATCGCTCCCTGTCGCTGCCCCCGAAAAACAAAAGGACTGCCCAGGTTTGAAGAACTTTCGGCACTCGCTCGTCCGTCCTCGTCCGCTTTGGGGTGGGCGCCCCCGTGCTGTGCCTCGCGGGGCCGCCCAGCACGTGGCCGGATCCCCGCGTGGCAGGTGCGGGTGCCACGCGCGGGGGTCCGAGCACCGGAACGACCTGCGATCGCAGGGGCATCTCGGAGCGAGGGGGGGGGAAAGCGCGAAGGAGGAGGCCTTCTCTAAGGGGGGCGGGGCTTCTCAGCAACCCTCGCGCCTACTGGACAGTTGTCTGTGTCTTCGGGGAAGGGTCAGGGAACTTCTCAGAAGTCCCAGGAAACGTCCGAGCCCTCCGAGAAGGCCCACCCCTTCTCACTTCCCCCCTGGGCCCCTGGGCGCGCCGCCGAGTATCTGGCTCTCGCCCCAGCTGGTCACACCATGTGTATCAAACTTGCTGGTCCGGGGTCCCCAGGCCACACCGACCCGTTCCAAGGAGGAAACACTTCAGGCAAGACCCGCAAAGCAACGGAGTGCAAGGCTAGCCATCCAGGGAGTCGGGGAGCAGGCTAGCCCTTCGAGCTAACGCCTCGTTTGGGGACACGTGCAAGGCTGACAGGTCCGAGACCCACGGGCTTTCCATCAGATTGACTTTTTATGCTGAGTCGTCTTGTTGAGGGTAACGGGGCTGGGGCATGGCCCCCGGGCTTCAGGACCCCTTCTCTGAATGGCGAGCGAGGGCACACGTGCGTGCTGCTCTTCAGGGTGACGAGACAAGGGGGGAGCGCCGGAGCACCTACTCGGGGGATGCGTGCGGGGCTACATGTCGCTCCCGTGAGCTGCTGTTGCACGGTATCCTACGTGCCCGTCTGAGCTGCGCCAGCGTCCACGGACGGCGCCCCCACTGCCGCCCGCTTTGTCACGGCCTGTCGGCACTTCAGACATCGGGCCCTGCGACACGAGGCCCCCCAGGGCGAGGAAGCCTCTTGAACAGTGCAAGGTCAACCCAGAAGCATGTCCTCTCTGCCCAGCCCCATCCCTCAGGACCCCATCTTCGAACCTCCGATCCTGCTGTCACATGACGCTGAGCAAAACATGTTTCCCCCCAGGCGTGGCCGCGCCTTCAGAATCGGAACACCACGTCCGCAGCGCATGCAAGGGGAACCGTTTCCGGGGCCTGGAGGGCCAACACAGCATGCCCAGGTCCATTCAAGCCGCCTCTTCCTCTTTGGCGGCGCGCACAGGTGGGTGGGAGGGGGGAAGGCTTCTTAGAAGGAGGCCGCTTCTCGGGAAGGCGCCAGCCCTACATCTGTAGACAAGGCCCGCTCCTTCTAAGGAGCAAGGGTGGTTCTGAGACGCCTTCCCCCCTCCCCTCCCCCTGCCCCCCTTGGCGCGTGGCCGACCTCCACCGCCGCATCGCGGCGCCGCAGCGCCGGGACGACGACGAGGAGTCCATGCCCGCGGGGGGGGGGGGGGGGCTGCGCAACACTGGGGACTACGGACTACGGTCATCGTGTTACCAAAAGGCACGCTCATTGAGGAACGAAGGGGCTTTTCTGGCCACGGGGGGTCCTAGGCCAAAAGCATGCTCCACGACATACAGCTGAGGAGCAACCCCAACACCAGAGCCCCTCCCGAGCTCAAACCGGTCCTTATTTCAGCGCATGGACTGCACGACGCAACCAGGAGGAGGGAGACGACGGCGACGACGACGCCGGGGACGACGCCGCAGCAAGGAGGCGACGACACCGAAAATCCATCGGGGGAGGAGTCGCGGCGCGCACGGGGGCGTTGAGGGAGGGGGGAGGCTTCTTAGAAGGAGGCTGCTTCCTAGAAGGTGCCGGGCTCACATCTACAGACAGGGCCCGCGCCGTCTAAGGAGCGAGGGTGCTTCTGAGGAGCCTTCCCCTCCTCCTCCTCCTGCCCCCGTCTCCGCGGGGCCGAGGATCTCCCTCCGTCCAGAACACCACTCCGCCCGCGAGAGGGAGTGGCGGTGCCCCTGTACAGCTCGGGGGCCCACGCGACAGCAGATGCCTGCCTTGACGCTGCGGGTTGCGGTCTTTGACGCCGCGCAGACAGCTCCAGCTTGAGCGATCTCCGATGTCGGAGGTCCTCGGATGCTCTCGACCCCCCATCTTTCGCACTCGTACGGGTTTCGATCCGTGTTTTGCGCGGGGGAGACGGGCCCTGCGGGAAACGGGTCCTGGACCCCGGGGCCTTCCCCAATGACCAGTTCTTCATCCTGAAACTTTACCTGACAGTCCCAGGGCCCGTGGAGGGCCCCGAGAGCCCGAAAATTGCGAAAAGCCTTAGGACCCGTTTCCCTCAGGACCCCTTTTCCCCACGGGGACGTGTGCAGTGCATGGTTGTCCTTTGTGGGTCCAGAGCCAGGCCCCCGAGGGTGTGCAACATGGAACGCCTGTGACGGCATCGCAAGCCCGCGCCAGGGCGGTGCGAAACCCCAGACATACCCGACGGTATGCTTGGTGTAGCCCGCGGCCCCAGCGGTTTCGACCACCGGATCGATTGCTGATGGCCCTGGGGCAAACCTAAGACGAAGCCAGGACGAGGATAAATTCGGGTGGAGATAAATCAAATCGAAACGCAAGCCTGGGGGCCGAAAGGAATCGGCGGCAAGCCTAGGGGGAAATGAGAAGGAGCGGGCCTTCTCAGAAGGCTCGGAAATCCCCCGACCTTCTGACAAGTCTTCGAAGCCTTCCCCGAAGCCACAACAAAACTTCTCAGAAGGCTGGCGGGTTTCTGAGAAGTCCTGACGCCTCCTCGGAAGGCCTCCTCCTTCTCACTGCCCCCCCCCCAGATCGTCGCCGAAGGAAGGAAAAACAAACGGACCAAACAACCATCAAGCCATGAGATGTCTGGATCATCTGCCCACTTCTCGCAGTCAATCTGCCATCCTCACGCTGATCCAGAGAGCGAGAAGTATGGAAACGAGGATGTAAGATTTGATATGTGCGTTGAGGAGTACCTCGTCGCGGTTGCTCCTGCTCCGCCTCCTCCTCCTCCTCCTCCTCCTCCTGCTCCTCCTCCTCCTCCTCCTCCTCCTCCTCCTCCTCCTCCTCCCCTTCCTCCTCGTCCTCCTCCTCACTCACCCCTCCTTCTCCTCGTCAAGTTCGTGCCTTCCTTTCCTCATCTTGCTAGCGCCCCCCGTGCAGGCGTTGCCCAGGAGGGACACCGCCCCCATGGCCGAGAGTCCTCAGAATCGGTTGCGCGACGTGAACGGTGTGCACAGCTGGGCAGCTGTCTCAGATGCCAGCCCTGGGGGCATTCGCCCTGACCTTTCAGGAGGGCAAAAAAATCCTTTTCTGGACCTAGATACCCAAATTCCAGCCGCGGTTTAAGCAGTCCAGATAGGTCAATAGGCCTGGACTGCTATTTTTCAGCACTCTGAAAAGTCAGGGAATGAAACCACTCGCTCAACCCATGCGTCGACGCTGCGTCGAATGTCCGTCGACTTGAGTCGAGCTTGGGTCGAGCTGGAGTCGAACAGATCCGTCAGGCGAGCGACGAGCAACAACTGGATCTAACGCGAGATGACAGAGCGACCTCACCAGCGCGGCCTGTTGCGTTCGAAGCGAGGGCGCTCACGCGCGACCTTGCGCGGGAAGCTTACGCCCGAATGTCGGCGCAGCCGAGCCCCTGTCTTTTCGTCGCCCGGGTGGGCCCCCAGGAAGAGGCTGCGAGGCGGGGATGTATCCGTATCCATCGCCTCGGAACCGACGTCCTGGTGCCCCAGCGAGCGGTGGGCATGAATATATGCTGGCCCCTGGAGGCTCGAACACGTCCACGTCCACCGCCTGCCGAGATCCCCGGAGTTGACCCTCCAGGCGGTGGTCATGTGTAGGTTCTCGCCTCTGAGAGGCGCCCCAGACGAACACCTCCACACGCCAGGGGACGCGGCGGGAGGAGGAGGAGAAGGACGAGGAGGAGAAGGAGGAGGAGTAGGAGGGGGAGGAGGAGGAGGAGGGGGAGGAGGAGGAGGAGGAGGAGGAGGAGGAGGAGGAGGAGGAGGAGGCCACGCCAGGGGACGTCACGCCGGGAGGGGCGAGCGCGGCTGCACGCCTGACGCGCTGCACGGCCCGCCTCCCGCGGCCGGACCAGCAGGCCCACGCGACCGCGCAGGCGAGCGCGGCGAGGACGGCGGCGCTCCTTCTCGGGGGGGAAGGAGGAGGAGGAGGAGGAGGAGGAGGAGGAGGAGGAGGAGGAGGAGGAGGAGGAGGAGGAGGAGGAAGACGAGGATTGGATTGGATTGGATTGGATTGGAGCAGCATTGGTGGCTATTCGTGGCTGTCAGCCTGGGTGGCTATTCGTGGCTGCCCTCACGGGTGGCTATTCGTGGCTGCTGATGAGGAGGAGGAGTAAGAGGAGGAGGAGGAGGAGGAGGAGGAGGAGGAGGAGGAGGAGGAGGAGGAGGAGCGGGGTCATCCTCATTCTCTCCACCATGAGCTGCATGTCTGTAACCATGGCGCTAGCAGATGGTGACGCCAGCCGTCTTCGCAAAGGATCCCAAAGTGCCTCGGCAGGCTGACCTGTTGCCTCCTCGGGCCTGCACGCGAGGGCAGCGCTGGGGAAGAGCGCCCGCGAGTGCGCGGCTTGCCGATTGCGCCGTGCGGTGCGACACCTGCGGCCTGCGCGCTTGGGCTTGGGCCCCCCAGCGCCACCACGGATGCCGTGCACCAAAGGTCACTCCAGCGGAGGGCCATTCCTTCACGCACAGCCAGAATTCTCGCGCAACCAGGATTCGGTCTCCGCGGGCCTTCGTGAGGAGTAGGAGGAGGAGGAGGAGGAGGAGGAGGAGGAGGACGAGGAGGAGGAGGAGGAGAAGGAGGAGGAGGGCGACATGGTCAGCGGGCAGTGGTCCGGGATGGAAAGTCGACCACGGAGAGCGGGTCGGAGGTCCAGCGGCGCTCGGATTGGACAAACCGTCCTTGAAACAGCGGGCGGAGGTCTGGGACGGCTGGGCCCTAGCACTGCCAGACAAAATGCAACATGAGAGGTCTACGACGGCACGATTGAAACGTAGCCCGTTCAGGGGGCACTGAACCCACATTACATTACAACACGTTCACGCCAAGCCAGGTCAGGCCCGGCCAAGTACATACCAGGGCGCATTATCAGTCCTACTTCCAGATCTACGTACCAAACGCCCAAAAACTGTTGACGTAACGATCAACTTTCTTTCCACCGCCTTCTGCTGGCGAGCCGGCTGCCGCGCTCCTTCCGCAGACTTCCGCCGATGGCGATGAGCTGCCAGAAGCGAAACCCTCTTTGAAACACCAAAATGCGCCAGCAACAGGGACAAGTTCTGTGCCACGGAACAGGTGGTTGCAGAAAGGCTCGGAGACTTGGCACACGCAAATTCTTGGCAGAACGCGAGGCACCTGACGCTACCTTCGAGCGGTGTCGACTCGGCGGCCCAACGGGGAGCGCCTTGCCACAGCAAGGCGAGCCGACAAAAGCCAGCAGAGGCGCCCTTCGCGCCTCACGCACTGCAGCCAACGACTTCGGCTTCTGAGAGATGCATCGGCGAGATGCATCTGAATTGGCTGTTTGCTCCCTCCTCATGGCTTTGATTAACAGCAAAGACGGGAGGCACGCGCGGTCGCACAGGCGCGGAACCCCGTGGCGGCGAAACGGCGCGCAGCCTGCCCTTCGAAATTTGCCAGGCGGCCGCCGGCGCAACGCAGGTGCACCTCCTGCACCTCTTCCTTCTCCTCCTCCTCCTCCTGCTCCTCTCCCCCCCTCCTGGTCCTCCACTTGCGACCGTGAGTCTGGCCGACCAGGCGCTCCGACACAGGGGTGACGAAACGTCCATCCTGGCGGACCCCGGCAGAAAGGGCGGGTGGCCGCCGGAACCCGCCGAGGGGTTTTGTTTCGCCTCCCAGACTGGCCCCGGAAAGGCCCCAGACGAAACCGCGGACGAGCCCTCCACGCGCCCTCCGCATCTTGCCCACCTCGCACGGACCTGCGCGCTGGCCTCTCAGGGCCGAGCGTCCTCATCCCCTGGCTCGTCCTCCGCCTCGTCCAGCTCCTTGTCCTTCCCTTCGCCGACTCTCTGACGAGCGTCGTGTCCACAACCTTCCTCTCCTCCTCCTCCTCCTCTTACTCCTCCTTCTCCCCCTCTTTTTTCTTTCATTCATTCGCCACCAGTCAGGCAAACATCAACACGAAATGATACACTGACTCATCATGGAACGCTTCAACACGTCATGAATTGCAGCTCTGACTATTCAGCATGTTTCGATACTCTTGCTGTGCCCTGGTCAGGGCCGTAAACAACTACATCCATATGCGGCTTACTGCTTCTGGGTGCGAAGGCGTCGACCGAACACGGTGGCTGATGCACCGTACCATGACCGTGCACAGCGAGGGGGGCACGGCAGGACCAGGTAGAGACTCCAAAGACTAAAACAACTTCCGCCCTATGAAACCCCACTCAGGACGCTGAATCGCTAGCATCCTAAAGCACAACTGAGGAATGTCGCCCTCCATCCCATGAAACCCCACTCAAGACGCTGAACCGCTAACATCCTAAAGCAGAACTGAGGAAGGTCGCTAAAGTTGCTGTATGCTGATCATCTGGTCACGAAAAGACGGGCCCACGGGACCATTGTCCCCTGCAATAGACATGACTTGGAGGGGCCTTGCTTCAGACCCTGGCGCCCCAAAGCCTACTCAATTGGGGATTCACCTCCTCTTGCGACCTCTTGTTAAACGGCGGCGGAGTTGCCGCGAGCCGCTTCGCCTGCCATGACTGAACATCCAGCTGCGCGCAACATCTCAGAAACAAAACAATACGTTTGATTGTGATGATGCCGCCTTTCAGCGTGAGCGTAGCATTGAGAATCACATTCGCGAACATCTGCTTGACTGGATGCGGGCCCTCTTGGTTCATCGCGCCCCAGAGTTGCAGCTCGAGTGCCTGTTCGTCTGATAGCAGCGGGTGCCATTCCAAGTGGTGGTGAGCCTGTTCTTGGCATCCTCAGGTGGGAAGACCCGTCATTTCTAGCACCCAGTCTGCCGCGCTCTGCGGATCCCCTTCTCAAGCATGAGGCGACGTCGCTCGAGCACTCCTGAGCACCGCAGCTTGCGTTCCGACATGTCCGTGATGGAATGGCCCTCGGATGCGCTCAGGAGTGCGAAGAAGCCGCGGAAGCTGGGCGCCCCTATGTATGTCCACCGTCGGGCTATCCATGCGAGTTGTGATGTAGTCCTGGCATGCGTTGATGATCAAGTTGCGCATGTCGCCGTAGCGCTGTACCACGGCCGTGGACAGAATCTGATGCTCCAGCGTCCGGATGCGAGCCTCGAGCTGGACGACAAGGGCGCGCATGTCCTTGCTGCACTCGTCCCTCAGGCCGTCCTCGTCCTCGTCGTGCTCGTCCATGTCCTCTGCCTCTGCTCTGCCCTTGCGAGCTGCCTTCGCCTTGCCCGCCGCTGTCGCGAAGCTGGCGCCCCGCGGTCGCACGAGCCACGGCCGAGTGTCTCACTCTGACGCTGACCATGATCCTCCACGATGTGTGAAGCTTGCTTCAGGCTGTTGACTGTCAGCGCGCGGGACAAATTTCCTAGGACTGCGCACATGGAAATCTTGAGGAAGAAACGCATCTAGATGATCTCGACAATGCTTGAGCAATACGTCTGCGTCCCAGGCTTCAGACTGACACACAAGACATGATAAGCTTGGCGGTGCTGACGGGAATGTGTCGAATCTACCCCTTCCATGCGGATGATCGATTCGTTTCAAACTTGCCAGTACGTGTCGTTTAGCTGTCTTCGGTTCACGTCACGGTTGCTGAACACATTGGGCATGTACTTACCATATTCAGCAATGGTACCACATGCACCCTTCCGTGCTTCCCACCCTCAGTATATTGCACTTGTGTGATTTTGTGGGACGGTTCGCTGCTTTGTCTAAAATAGTGCTCCGCATGGTTAGCCATTATCTATGAGAGCTGTACATTCGTGCTCTCCGTCGACGGCACTCTGATGTTCAACGGCATTCGCTTGACGAGCGGTGAGGAACACAGGTCGGAGCTAGTCGATACCAAGCTGTACAAAGTCCCCAGGCTCCTGGAACAGTGTATTGAACCTCGTCCGAGCGTGAGCACTGAGCATTGCGACTCCAGCCTCTTTTTGAACGGGCAAATCAATATCTCCTTGAGAATGTCGTGCCCACGGATGAGCTGTGACGGGTAATCTTCCCCAGTCATCAAAAGGATCACCAAAAGGATCCCCATCCCCCGTCATGATTCCAAAACCTACTGGAAGATACGGTTTGTTATCCTCCGTCTTCCGGATCGTGCTCCTCAGAATTCGCAGCTCCAAGAAATACGTAATACGTATCTCCATAGAATACGCAATACGTAATACGCATGCTCCTCAAAATAGTATCTTCCGCTTCAGCCTCCGAATACGTAGCTCCAAGAACAGCGAACCCTCTTTAGATGTCTGAACGATATGACCTGACCCCTCTGAATACTGAGCAATACCACCGAAGATGGCACGACACTTGGTGAAAATGAACCGCTGCATGGGCTGCAGATCTCCTATCAGCAATGGCCGTCTGGCCCTTGCTAAAACGTCAGCTCTGCTGAGAGCGGCGTTGACAAGCAAGCCGTTGACCAGGCTGATCTTATCGTAGCGGTGCTGGGCCCTCCTCCTCCTCCTCCTTCTCCTCCTCCTCCTCCTCTCCCCCCTCGACCTGATTCCTGATTCCTGTCGGCCTTGGTGTTATCCGCTTGCTGCCGCTTCCCCCAGGGCTGGCTAACAGCCAACCCTGGGTGGGTATAAAATAACAGTAGACAGATAAACAACTAGGACAGACAAGGAGGAGACGGATGGGGGAGGAATGGGAAGGGAACATCATAATAACCACGGAAACGAACAAAGGGAGTAGGGGTAGCGTGGCATGCGGCAGTGTCAATAATACAGGCAGGGGCCTTGGGCCTTGTTGTTGTGGCCGAGGCGGGTCCACCCCCTTCGAGTCGCCTGGCCTGGTTGGGCCAGCGCTCTGGAGGGTGCCCAGGGTCCCCCTCTGTATGGGCGCACCACTGGACAGGCTTGGGGGGGTCCTCCTCGTCCGCCTCCATTCCTTCTTCAACTTATAGATCACTCCTCCCTGTCGCACCACCAGGCCACTGTTTAGGGCGGGCCGGGCGCATGGGCTTCACGGATTGAGGGCGGGTGGTTTTCAAAATGTGGCTCTCACCTTCGCGCCGCGCACATTCGTTTTAAACATCGCAAGGGTTTCACGGATTGTAGGTGGGTCGTTTTCAAAATGTGGCTCTCGCCTTAGCGCCGCGCATCTGCTTTCTCCAAACATGCAAAAGTTTCACGGATTGAGGGCGGGTGGTTTTCAAAATGTGGCTCTCGCCTTGGCGCCGCGCACACTTGTTTTAAACATTTGCAAGACTTTCACAACTTGAGGGCGGGCCGGTTTCAAAATGTGGCTCTCGCCTTGGCGACGCGTGCATTCGTTTTACACAATTAGAAGAGCTTCACAGATTGAGGGCGGTCCCTTTGCAAAATATGGCTCTCGCCTGAGCGCCGCGCACACGCGTGAAACAAATTGCAAGAGCTGCACGGATTCCCATGATCAACGTATCAGGGATGGCGTCCTGGAAGGATTCAGGATTACGCGGGCGCGACAGTTATGTGATTCGCTGTTTGGAAGTTCCGACGATGGCGTTCTGGCAAGATTCTGGATCGTCAACACGCAGCAGTGGGGTTGATACGTGGCGTTGAAATCGAGAGATCAATGTTTTGGCACGCTTCAGGATCTTCAAACTGTTGTCTTCCAGCGAGGCAATTCCCCCAATGGAAATGAACCGTTGTAGGGGCCTATGAAGAGGGAGCTTGGAGGGAGGGCAAATTCCAACATCGTTGATGCCTCTTGGGTTTCCACTGGTCCTCCTCCTCCTTCTCCTCCTCCTCCTCCTCCTGCCTCCCACCTCCTGCCTCCCACCTCCTGCGCCCCGCGCCGCCCGGATAGCACGTAACGCACGGGCGCAGAAGGCTCTCCTCGCCCTCCTCGGCCTGGCGAGCAGCCCCTCCGCCTGCGTGCGCGGGAGGGGGGGCTGCGCGGGGAGGAGGCCGCTGGGGCGGCGAGTGGGCGGTTCGGTCGTCTCGCGCTGAGTCTGGTGCTCCTTCATCGGCTCCGCCTCGCCAGGAGCCTCCTTTGGAACGCAGAACCGTCCCGGATCGCCCTCGCCGGAGGCCTTCAGGGATGCCCCCGCGCCACGGCCCCAGCACCCGCGCCGCGAAGGAGTAACGGCGCTTCCCCAGGGGGGCGGCCACGAGGAAGAGGCAGAGGAGGACGACAGGCCTGGACGAGGAGGAGGAGGAGGAGGAGGAGGAGGAGAATCTCCTTCATGACGGGCCCAAGCAATTCTCATTCGAATTTAGTATTCAAGTGGGTGGGGCGCTGCTTGAAATTGACCGATCTGGCCACCTGGACCAACATATGTCCTGTGACCCTATCCTCTGTTACCCGACCCTTTCTTCCCCAACAGACGCTCCACTTCTCTCTGCAATCATGCCAGCATGAAGCATGAAACCCTGGCCGCTCCCTCGCTATTTCCACTCCCCACGAAAGTTCTCTCGCCAAGAGCAGCACGATGCCAAGTGCCCATGGAAGTTCTGCCGGTGTGCGGAAGTTGCAGGGTAAGACAGACTCAGCACGACTGCCAGCGAAATCATGGAAGGGGCCCGACTCGCTGGTTCGAAGCTGTATGTGGCATGATTGCTGACCATGTACCTGTCGGGGGGGGGAAGCATGTGTAAACGTGCGCTCGTGGCTGCGGCCTTTAATCCAGCGCGCCCTGTGGACAGCACAGTGTCATGCTCCAGAGCTGCCGACTGGTTTTCTGGACCTCGAACAGTTCGGACATCTTCACCAACGGCAATATTGGAGGCCTCCTGAATTATCCGAAGATCGCACTATATTGTCGATGCAGCGGGGATGCGTCTGCGACGTCGGGATGGAGACCATCGGGCTCACGGTCGTGTCCAGACGCAGAAGCATCGATGACACGCGACCCTCCGACCCCGTGTATTCCAGCCCCGTTTGGCCGGCCTGGACATCTGCAGCTTTAACCTGCGAGGCAGCGGGAGCCAGGATCTACTCGGCGGGGCCCAGGAAGCTCTGGTTGTGCCACGGGCCATGGCGGGGTCCTCGAAACCATCCAGGACATAGAGGGAGGCTGCGCGCTTTGGTGACGCCACGAGGCAGGTCACCTCCCCATCCCTAGCATTAAAACAAGCATGCCGACCAGCCACAATTGGGGGGGAGCCGTGGTCCTCACTCCATGGGAGCAGCTTGCGGAGGAAACTCATGGGAGGCCTTTGTGGGAACGATTTGGACCAAAAGTACCAGTCAAAGGGCCACCCCACCGAATTTTAATTAAACTCATACATAAGCAGTATTCGACGGACGTCGGCGGGATTGTGCCGGATTGAAGTGTCTTTTCCCCGACCACGCAAACACCAACGACAATACGGAGGTCGAACCCGCAATAATCACAACCAAGTCGCATGGGTCCCTGAAGGGGGTCTCACCAGACCCATGCTTTTGTGCACAATGTGGGCCGCTGGAGGCCTCGACGCCTCCCCCCTCCCCAGGGACCGGCTAGTTATGCGTGGTCCCGGGGCAGAGGCCGAGCGCTGTCAGCACCCTTCCCCTCCGATGTTCTGTCACGACGGGAGGGGCTCCAGGCTCCGGAGGGCCCTCTCGGGGTGCCGCTCGGGCCTCCAGCGCTCGCTCGGGGCGACTCGGGCCCCCCCCCCGGAACTTTCGGCGAGGCGCACCTGCTGGAAAGCTCCCCGAGGCTGGAGAACACCCAGGAGCCCACGAAAACGTATGGAATACTCGAACTTCTAGAACAAGACAACACTGCATAAACAGGAACTGTAGGAGATCCGCGCGGATCTCTTGGATCTGGACTGGAGCTCCCCCCCTGGCGCGCGGAGCGCCCCAGGAGTGGCGCCGGAGGCGCGCCCAGGGGCCCCAACGTGGATCCAAGAGATGCGCGCGGAGCGTCGCAAGTTCGAACCTCGAAAGATGCCCCCCCCAATTCTGGCTGGTCTGGGATGATAGCGGCGCTCGCGGCCGCGCCCGCGCGCGCGAGCGGCACGACCGCACCCGGGCGGCGGCCCCCGCCGCGCGCTGGCGGTCGCCGCACCCGTTGCGGCAAGCGGGGCCTGGCCCTCCTCCCTCCTCCCTTCTTTTTGACTTTGACCGCGCTTCATGCACGAGGCTTCTCCTCTCTCCTCCTCCTCCTCCTCCTCCTCCTCCTCCTTCTCCTCCCCTCCTCCCTCCTCCCTTCTTTTCCTTTCCCGCGCTCTCCTCCTCCTTCTCCTCTCTCCTCCCCCCTCCTCCCTCCTCCTCCTTCCCTCCTCCTCCTCCTCCCCCTCCCCTCCCGCCTCCCCCTCCTCCCCCTCCCTCCCCTCCTCCTCCTCCTCCCTCCTCCTCCTCCTCCCCTCTCTCTTCTCCCGCCCCCTCCCCCTCCTCATCCTCGACCCTCGACCCCCCCCCCCCCCTCTCCTCCTCCTTCCCCCCCACCCCGCTCCTGACCGAGGGCCCCTCGCGCGCGCCCGCGCAGCCGTTCCCCGACCCCCACCCCTCGGGAGCCGCCCTGGCGGCGCGCGCCAGGGCGCCGTCCCTCGAGGATGAGGCCATCCTCGAGGTTGGACGCTCGAGCTTCATGGATCGAGGCTTGTCCAGGAGCGGCGCAGGCGTACTATCTCTCAGAATCCGAACTGCCCCCTGCTCCAACAGCTCCCCATCCACCTGCTCCTACCCCGCTCTACTCTACTCCTCCTCCGCGAGCCCTCCTCTCTTTTTCTCTCCTCCTCCTCCTCCTCCTCCTCCTCCTCCTCCTCCTCCTCCATATTCCTCCTCCTCCTCCTCCTCCTCCTCCATATTCCTCTTCCCCATTCGGGCGCTGGCAGAACTGAGCTTAGTGGAACCTGGTTTAGTGATCTGTACCGGGGGCGCCCCCCCGTCCCATCTCCACTCACCGGAACTGCCGTCACCCGAAAATCACCGGCTATGGCAAACCTGGTTTGGTGATTCTGGCCAATTCGAGGGCTCCGGGGCCCCACCACTAACCGGGGTCCCCTTACCCGGGGTCCTGGCCATGCCCGAGCCATGGTCGTCTACGGTAGAATCCTGCGGCGCCGGCGCGCGCCAAGACTTTCGACTCCGCGTGGACCGTTCCTCCTTGCACCGATCGCGTCC